GAGGCATTGAAAAATGAAATCTTGTTTAATTTTGAATGGATCAACGCAAAGATTCATGGTCAATCTCTCAATGACGTACTTGAAGATTATGATAACGCATTGCGTGACGGTCACGACATGGAAATAAGGTAATGTCACTCACAGTGAAAGTTGACACGGAAACGGAAACGACAGTTTTTCATTTAGGTAATTCGCCCTTAATCTTTTCTTTTATTTTACTTTCACTGCTCCCGTCTCTGTTTATTGTTTTTTACATGTATACGTGTAAGCACCTTCAAAATCCGTCTCCACTTACTTCACTAGTCAAAAGTTTGCTTTGGAAGGGAATTGTCCTACCTCCAGACATTAACTCCATTGCGTAAACATAGTCATCACATATAGGTGGATTTGTACTGACTTTCAACTTGAATGTCTCTTATATTCTAGGCTTGCCAAAGAAACTCTTGTCCTCGCAAGTAGTAACATCAAAAATGACCCTGATTCCCTCGCCCCACAAATCATTGCACGCATGCTGGCCTTCAAAGATCACTTTTCTCATATTGCAACACTGATTGGTCACGCCTATCGATGGTGTCACGCAAGGAACACTCCTTTCTTCATCCCAATGTCACCTTGCCTTATTTCTGCAGGCAATACTTGGTTGGTATTAGAATAAGCATATATGAATGTAGCATTAGCTTATTTCGCGCCATGTGGTACAGAAAGCTCCTCTCGGGCCCTTTTAGACCTGCGCATGCGTACTCCAATGATTTCCACCCACCTTCATTCTCTGTTCTCCGCCGTCCTTTATCAAAACGTAGGCCTCAGAACCATAATTTCCCGTTATTCAATGTATATTAAGTATTCACCCTCGCTCTACCCATTTATTAAATCCTAATGCAGTTCGCCATTCAAAAGCCCCAGTGTGTCGAACGAGGACTTCACAATATTTCCATTTATTATGTAGGGGGACCTCTCATAACCAACCTTCGCGGTCACACACAACGTGTCAATTCCATGGCTGTCACGCTTGACAACAGCTTGCTTGTCACGTCAGGCGAAGACGGTCTTGTCAATGTATGGAATCAAGGCGGAAAAGGACACAATCACGATTGCTTACACACTTTCAAAATGGCGGATAAAGGAACCTCGTTTTTAGTCCTCACGCCAGATGATACACGCGTCGCGGCCTCTATTGGACGTGAATTGGGAGTATGGAACCTAGATACTGGTGAAAATCTTCATAAGTTTAAAAGTGA